GGTGGGTACGAATAAAAAGTTATAAATTTAAAATAAAATTTATATATAATTGATAACTTTATTTAAATTAATTAAATTTAAATTTTATACAATTATAACATAATGTAAATAATATTCAAATAAAAATACACTGTAATATAGTCCTGACTAAAATAAATATTTTTTTTATGTTAGAAAATAATATATTGATTATTAAGTTAAAATAGTAATTAATATATTGTTGTTATTATTATATTTATTAATTATAATAATAATAATATTATTACTATTATTATTTAAAAAGATAAAAAAAAATAACAAAGAGTAAAAAAATTTGAACACTAAGTCCAAGTAAAAAAATTAACCCGACCCATTACTAAACACAATTTGGGCCCAAATCAAACCCACGAGGCCCAACCCGTGCACGACCCTACTCGTTCCAAACGGCACCGTTTTCCCCTGGTTCTTCTTCCTCCAACTAAAGATGAATGAAACAAGATGTTTTGAAACCCGTTGAACGATGTAACGTGGTATGTTCATGCACATCTTTGCTCCAAAATTAAATTTTCTTAAAATTAATATTTTTAAATTTAATTTAAACAAATAAAAAAAATTAAATTTTAATACAAAATATGTATCATAGTATACACATTCTTCAAAAATATTAAGGACATGTCAAAAAATATATATATATTTTTTGTAGATCTCTAAAGTTTCAAAATCTTAAACATCAATCATACTTTCGACCTAAGAAATTTTGTGTCTTAATTATGGTTTGTATTTATTTATTTTTTTACGACGTGATCGAATTTTTTTGGAACCGGGTTAATTAAATTTGCACAATTAACATTATATAAAACGCAATAAAAACTACATAGAGATTTTACGACGTCACACGAACTTGTTAGCGACCAAGTAAGTTTAGATTTTTCTAATTCTAATAGAATATGTTCAAAGATTAGGTCTTACCTTATGAATTAAGCTATAAAAAATATCTAATTATATATTAAGTGTTAATGGTGTTAATAGTCACTAAGAAAGATAAATTAAAATAATATATATGTCAGTAATAACTTATTAGTTACTAAATAAGTTTAAATTTTTTTAATTCTAATAGAATATATTCAAAGATTAAGTTTTAACTTATTAATTAGTTATTGAAAATCTATAATTATATATTAAGTGTTAACAGCGTTAGTAATCACTACAAAAAATAGATCAATTTAATTTTTTACACCATTATAAATTCAATTTACATAGATTTAGAAATATATTTTAAATAACTTTGATGAAAAGCATAATAATATATATGTCACAAGAACTTGTTAGACACCGAATAAATTTAATTTTTTTTAATTCGAATTGAATATATTCAAAGATTAGATCTTAGCTTATGAATTAAGCCATTAAAAGTCTCTAATTATGTATTAGGAAGAAAGATCCAAGAAGAAGATATCAAAAAAATTGTTTGGCACATCCACATGTTCTTTTAATTAAATTTATGAAAGCAATACAATGATAAGTGTGGATTAATCACGTGATTAGTATTAGTTCTCTTAATAATGTTGTTTGGCTTGAAAGAAAATTTTATGCATCAAAATTCTATAAAGCAATATGCTTTTAATATTATTTGGGGAATAAACTTAGTGTCGTGCAAAATTGAGATTCTCCCTTTTAGACCCATGTAGATTAAAATTAGTTTGAATTGAATAATACGGAATATAAATTCAAGTTAGGTTTTACCCGAAATTTAAAAAAAAAAATGTTAAGTTTGTATCGATCGACACTCAACTCAATTCACGTTGTTGACTTTTTATTTAATTTAATTTATTTCGTAGTAATTAAATTCTCTTAGTTAGAGTATTATAATAGATTAAAAATTTGATTATGATCTTTTTTATTCAATTAAAAAAAGTTATTAGGAGCCAACAACTAATTAAGTATTGATAAATAATATATTAGTTGTACCAAGTAATCTTTTTCTAAACCATTACATGGCTAAACTTACCATTTAATTCAATTTAAGGAATCAATTATGCTGTTTATTGTCAATATAATTAACTAAATATGGTAATTATACAAAAATTACATGCATACAATTAATTCTATATTTAATGAATTTGGTAATAATCCCATTTTGCTGGTTGAGAAAAATTTTTTGTCACAAAATAAACATAACCCATTTGAGAAAAATATAATGAAGTGTTCTTAAATCTATAATTCATTGTGATTTTTTTTTTTTGGTTTATTGTTAAACCTAAAACTTTTATTTATTAATGAATTTATTAATCTATGAATACAATTAAGTTACATTTCATATTAAATTATGATAATAAATTCCATAAAAAAAAACAGTTATGATAATAAATTACACCAAAAATTTAATTGAAATTCATAATCACATGTAATAATTTCAAATATATATACTTTTACGAAATATAGTACACATTATGATTCCGATTACTTGTCCAATAATATTAAATGTTATTCTAATTTCGAAATAAGTTTAAAATTAACGGATTTAATCATAAAAGTACACAATTATGGTAACAATAAATCGAAATTTTGAGGGTTTTTTTTTTCGATTACACTAATACTTAAATTAGTAAAATAGTTTGCGAGTGTTTAGAGAAACTTGATATTTTGTTGTAGGGATCAAAATATTAATTATATTTTTAGTAATTTTTTAAAATTATGGTATAATTTATAATATTTAATTAATAAATAGTAATATATTATTAAAAATAAAAATAAAAATTCGTATCATATCTCTACGTTCGGTTTGCATAAATCATGGGGCTTAGTATGATCAATTGGTTGTATCTACTAAAAAAAAAATTAAGTTAATTTTATTTACTTAGGAGAGCGAGACAATTAATAAAAAGATTTTGCTACATTACTAAACTATCGAGATAGATGTAATAACTGAATCTCTATTATTATTATTATAAAATCGCTCACAACATTAATATAATGAATATGAGAATAATTGATAATTATTGTCAATGACGACTATCTAAGGCTTGTTATATACTTTACCTCACTTCCAAATATTTTAAGAAGCATTTGATAGTAACTAATGATAATTCTCCCTCGTGTAATGCCAAGTTTTTATCGATTGTTATTAATAGCCAAGGGTCTATTAGTTATCAAGTAACATCTTCCGATGATCACATGCCCATGAGATGTTGACACATGTCTCACATGTGTAAAATGCATATTTTGGATGCATCAATTCTTATTATGCGACATTATCATATAATATTTGTGATAATTTCTATTTCATATTTTTACGAGTAAGAATTAAAATTTCTTTGCTCTAAAACACCAAGGCAGGAGTTGAGATACTCACCATAATTCTACATATCAAAACTAGTTAATATAAAATTAAGTGTGGGAATTATGAAAAAGAATATCATACCCAATGAAACTTAGAGTTATTAACCTTGTAAATAAAATTAACAAAAATAACTTCTAAATAGGTTTCCCAAAAGCTTTGAGGTTGTAGGAAAGAGTTAAACTCAAATACTTTCCTTTATGTATGAGTGAGAAAAATTGTTATCTCAATTTTTTTTTTAGATATAAGGGGAAGCAAATCAAGACAGCTAAAGAAAACTATCAGACATAGGTGTTACACAGTATGAGTCAGGAAACACCGATAATGTCCTCACAAAGAATGTGCAGAAGCCCAGGGGAATGCAGTAAAGAGTGGCCTCCCATAGGACCATCATAAGCTAGGTTCGCTAAGTAGTCGACACCTCTGTTATCTTCATGACATGTATATTGTATCTTTACAGTTCAGTCTTTTATGAGTAAAGTTTTAAGTACTAACAGGAAGTTAGAGTTAACATTTGTGGCAATTGTCTCATTATTGATCACCTTATTCAGAAGTTAAAACAGTGAAAGCACTATACATATTTCAAGATAAACACGACGCGATCAAGAATCCAAGCAAGCTCGAGCCCCTCCATTTATATAATCAATGTATTGAGAACTAGAATCCCTAATTAAAATAAAGATAAATATTATAATAAACAATAATTGATGGGTCGAATCCTTGGGAATATTGTTTTCACTCCTCAAACTCAAGCTAAAATTATCGATACCAAGGTGAATTTGAAAGGCTTAGTCTCGCAACAAGATAAGAAAATTTTAAAAGTATCTCGAGTAATCGTACTTAACAAAGTAACAATTAGTTACTTAGAGTAATAAACAAAAATTTTCTTTCTGTATTTGTTTAGTCTGCAAAAACAACCAAGTTTTTTTTTTTTTTTTAGTTTATGACGAAGACAAGTAAAATTTTCCAAACCCATGTCTCGTAAAACCATAATAGAAATTCCAACTTGTCTTAGAAATTTTTTTTTTTTCTTGGAAAATCTTTCAAGATCCCTTAGATAATTGTGTATGCACTTTAAAAAACAATCAATCCAACACATGGATCTAGGAAACTAATTGTTTACTTAATTTAAGTAGAGAGTAATTATATAGACGTGCGGCTAAGGCGTGTGCCAAAAGTAAACAAGTGTGTGTATATGCGTGAATGTATATTACACATACATACACACACACACACATATATATATATATATATTATAATATTTCGATTCAATGGTCGGCCATTTGTTTTTTCCTTTTCGGGTAACAAATGAACAACAAAGAGCTGCCAGTTAATTTATCATTTTATTCACCGAATCAATTAAACTTTATTTCTGTCTAAGTAAAATATGATGTCTCTCAAGATAAATTTCAAAGTCATTATATTGCCTAAGATTTTTAAGAATAATGTTGTAAATACAAAAATTTATATAAAAGATTAGGTAAAAAGTAATTTTAGGTATTATAATTTTTTCGTTGATGCATTGAAAGTACAGAGAGCGCTGACGACATACGAAAAAGATTACTTTGAATATAAATTTATAGTTGAGGATTGCAGAGCCATTCTTAAACTTCGATCGGACGTGAAGGTGTTCTAGGTTAAAAGAGCATGTAATTTGGTATATTGCTGGAGCTGCTCGTCAGTAATCGAATTTTCATGTCCGGGAGTCTCTTCCCGCGCATTGAAATTTTTAAAAAATATATATTTAAATTTTTTTCTATATTAAATATTATATGATGTTTGACGTGATATAAAATATAAAAAAAAATAATTGACTAAAAAATACTGTATATAAACATCGGTTATATATAATATTAGGTGTATACATTATTAGAAGTCATATAAAAAAAAGATAGATTAATTTAAATATATTTTTTTTTTTGGAAAAAAGATTTAATCTTGGAATTCAACGGTGAATAACCACCAACTGCATCTGCTCACTTAGGATCATGATTCATGCACGTAAAAAATCCTGCATACTTTTAGTAATAGTCAACAATATGCAATTTAATTTTTTTTAGTAAAAAAATATGTGCTTAAAGAACGAATTTGAGCAATTAATATCACATTCATCAAAAAGTATCATTCATCTGTATGTATATATATATATATATATATATATCTCTCTCTCTCTCTCTTTCTTTTATAATACTTATTACCAGGCACTTTCTCTTCTATAATCGCGCATAGCTCTCTCCGTCTTCTTCCCATCTCTGTGTGTGTGTGTGTGTGTGTATATACACACACAGACACATATAAACATTCATAAACATCTGTCCGCAAGATTCAAAATTTCGCACCAGATAAATGTGGATTTTTTGAAGCTTCCGTGTCGATATTTGATGCTGTATATGGTGTGGACCCAAATATATTAAGTCAGAGACAGAAAGGCTTATTTTACGTTTGGGAAGTCGTCATGTCTTATAATATCACTGAAGCTTCTGAAGGTAGAAGAAGAGAGATGGTAATGGAGGGAGAGATGTATAGGATCTTTAAGGTATGGCTTACAGTATTTACGTCTCTGTGTTATTGCTATCTTGTAGGGAAGATGACCGAGAAAGGGAGGGTTAGGTTGATTTGTGTCCTTCCAATTGTAGGGTTGTTTCTTCTTCTTCCTCTTAATCTGAATTCTATTCATGTTGGAGGCACCACAGCTTTTTTCATTGCTTGGCTCGCGAATTTCAAGCTTTTGCTTTTCGCTTTTGGTAAAGGGCCTTTGTGTACGGACCATTTTGTATCTCTAGGTCGATTTGTTGCCGTTGGGTGTTTGCCTATAAAAGTGGTTGTACCACAGGAAAAACAAGTTTCAGCAGGAAAAGTTAGCCTGATCAATGGTGGAAACAAACAGAACCCACCTTTAAAATCAGTCTTAAACGGTGAAAACAGAGAGAACCCATCTCAAAAATCAGTCTCAAATGGTGAAGACAGAGAAAACCCGCCTTCAAAATCAGTCCCAAATGATGAAAACAGAGAGAATCCATCTCCAAAATCAGTCTCAAGTGGTGAAAACAGAGAAAACCCATCTTCAAAATCGGTCTCAAATGGTGAAAACAGAGAGAACCCACCTTCAAAATCAGTCTCAAATGCTGAAAACAGAGATGACCATCTGCAAATGGCAAAAACGAAGAGAACCCACCTCAAAATTCATACTCAAATGGCGAAAGAAAGGGAACTCAGTCTGGAAAGCGGCTAAAAAGCCGTAAGTCACCTGCAAACTATGCAGTGAAGTGCCTGCTTTTGGCTATGATAATACGAGTATATGATTACAGCGAGCATCTCCATCCAAAACTCATTTTAGTCCTCTACTCCTTTCACATATACTTCACGCTAGAGATCATTCTAGCCGTTGTTGGTGCTTTGGCTAGAGCGCTACTAGGCATAGAGCTGGAGCCACAATTTGATGAACCCTACCTCTCCACATCACTGCAAGATTTCTGGGGAAGAAGATGGAACCTCATGGTCACCGGTATCCTGCGCCCCACCGTATACGAGCCCACCCTCCGTTTCACCGCGCGTTTCGTGAGTCGCCGATGGACCTCCATTATCGCCGTTATGATGACCTTCACGGTCTCCGGTCTCATGCACGAGCTGGTCTTCTTCTACCTTGGGCGCGTGAGGCCCACGTGGGAGATCACGCTGTTCTTCCTCCTCCACGGGGCCTGTTTGGTGGCTGAAAATTTAATGAGGAAGAGCGTTCTGCCGGCAGTAACGGGGGGAAGGTGGCACATTCCGAAGCTGGTGTCTGGAGTCTTAAGCATTGGGTGGGTGATTTACACCGCGTTCTGGCTGTTCTTCCCGCCGCTTCTCCGATCCCGGGCTGACGACAGGGCGTTTGAGGAGTACGCCGCCGTCTGCGCGTTCTTGAAGAATGTCGGCAAGGCTTTGAACAGTTGAGATTCTGGTGAACTTCATCTCTCTTTGTAAATTTTTATTTTGTGGTGGAAAACACAGTCCTAAGAAGTAAGTAAATCTGACGGCCATGATTCGCCATCTGAATTATTTTATTGTGGGGGACTTGAATGGATCTCATTTGGCATTGAAAGAAATGAACGGAAATTTAGAGTGAATTTATCCCAATATTTACGCAAACAATTTATGTATTTTGTTACTTATTTTAAATGTTTAATTAGTTGGTACTTCTAAATTTTGTTATAAAATTATATATTTACATTAAATTAATGTTACATATTTATAATTTATTTATAATTACATACATATGGAGGCCTTAAGATGTGTAAGAACACCCTCAAGCAATCAAGCATGCCCATTGCTCCAAGGCCAAAAACTTCCCTTCCCTTTCCGTCCTCAAGTTCAACCTCCACCTTGAATGATACCGACCAACTACTCAACAACATCGCCCACTATCGGACACCAAACAACGACTGTATGTGCTCGAGCTTCTGCTTGAAAGCATGGATGATATTGGTCGTCCCTCGAGGTAGCAGAAGCTCCATTTGAGCTCCCTGGAGTCGACGTGACGATGAGAGGAGTTGGAAATCGTTCGAGAGTTTCATTTTTTAAAATAAAAATTATATTTTGACGAAAAAATTTATTTAATTAAAAATAAATATATAATTTATTATTACGTGACGTTTTTTTTTTAATTTTTACTTTCGGTCCATTTGGTGTAAAAAATATTTTATTTTATTTTCATCATAATATTAATTATAAATTTCTATGTATTTATCATATATGTATTTAGAAGATATTACACATTATATTTACAAATAGATTTTTATTAAATATTAATACATATTTTAGTTAATTATAAAAATAACTAAGATAGAAATCATAAATTTTATTCTACTTAAAAGGAAATATGACTCTTATTATCACTTTACATCATTAATATTTCTTGATGATATGTTAAAAAAACTTACACATGAGGTTAAGAATGTAATAATGATGATTAAAAGAAAAAGGGAAGTAATAATGAAATCTCATCTAAAAGCATTATTGTATGAACATTAAAAAGATGAGAAGTAAAAAAAAAAAAACAGACAATCAAGCATATTTAAGGACCTGGTAAACACTTCCTTTTGGCCTAAATGAGAGACACTGCCGTTGTTCTCTTAGTAGTTTTTTTAACCTAGTGAATATTGATATTTTCGTTGATGTCAAAAGTTTAAATTTTGGTTATTAGTTGAGTAATTTAAATGAACCGACAGGCTCCTCTATCGATGATTATTTAAATTGATGTTTATGTTAGAGATTTAAATTTCTGACCTTACTACGTACGAGATTAATAATATATTACGTTGAACTAAAAAAAAAGTCAGAACGTAACTATACCTTATGATAATAACAATGTGTCTTTTATCTTGTGAAGTACGCGGCCCTTCACAAATAGCACCGAAACTCTGCAGTTGGAAATTTAAATTTCGACTCTTACTTCCTCAGAAGATTATTATATATTGTGTTTGTTGTATTAAAATAAAACTTTAAATGTAATTATACCTTACAACTGGAATGTGCTCTTATCTTCTGGGGTATGTGGCCTTTCCCAAATGGCACCAACTGAGGGTCCTGCAGTTAATAAACATAGGCTGAGGTGAGCCTTTATGCGTTCACATGAAAATTTCTCAGGCTGGGTGCACGCCCATGGATAAAGACTAAAGACATATGAAGGTGATGAGATGAGATGTGAAAACCAAGACACTCACAAATTCAACGATATTTACTGAGGTCATTAAAGAAGGTCTAATCCCCATACCCAACTGCAAAAAAAGGACAAATCATATTTTAGCCAGCATCTGCCGACCGTTGGATCTCATCAGATAGCTGGCATACAATATCAATATCAACTTTTTTTGTTATAAAAAATATCTAATTTAAATGGCATAATAATCTTGTAAAGAGGAGAATTCAAACTCAAGTTTTACTTACTAACTCTGTATCAATATATATATATATATATTAGTATATACTAATAAAGAACTTCATAAAATGTGGCATTTACTTTCATCATTATTGTAGGCTGTTACTATCATGGACTTATAAATGGCTCTGAATTCTAGTGGTCACTTTAAATTTTGTTTTCAGCAATAATGAGAGGGATACAATGTATATTAGTTACCCAAGATAGTGTTTTACTATTCCTTCAATTTTATTTTTTTGGCAATAATAAAAAAGATAGCACATTAGTGTTTAGTTGTTATATAACAGTCTATTTGTCATCTTAAACACTTGTTTTCTTACAAATCACATCCTCTCAAGGGAAGGCCTATAAATAAAGTAGAAAAAGAAAAGGGTGTTGTGAAATATCACTTACCCTTGAAGAAATGGAAGAGAAGAAGCTCTCCACAGTTTCTCTTGCTTTACTGATGCTGCTGTCACTATGGCTGATGATATCCCCAGCATCGGCTTGCCCCCCAGATCGCAGTGGATGTAAAGGCTGCATCGTAGATCAGATGAAGTACGCCTGCCCATCATGTGTGCCACTTCTCCGATGCATGGCCAAGTGCCTGTGGGGGGGTAGCTCAAGGCCCAAGTGTATCAAGAGGTGTGACTGCAATGCTGGGAAACCAAGACTTTCTGATTGTAAGCAGTGCATGTTGAGGTGCAAATGTAGTTGTATGGGAGTGTAATAGATGGATTCCTATTCAGAATCCACTCTTTGGGGTGTATAAACTTCTTATCATATTTGCTAAAAAATCTGTTTTGGATCTTTTTTTTTTTAATTTGCATAAGAAATCACAAGAATCTATATATCTAATTAAAGAGAGTTTTCACGTACCTGATACGCAGAGTATATTTTTAGTGATTTCCTTGGAAACGATTGCTGCCTGATGCCATATAAAGCAAACTCTAGGTTCGTGATGGAGATCATCAGATTATGTCACATCACAATGCATGATTAGCTTCATGATACTATTTCTTTTAAATTAGCTGCTCAAGCAAACAGACAAAGGATAAGTGATCTTATCATAAGATCTGATCAAAGAATTTTATCCGAGAAAATTAAGTCACTATCTCACAAAACATGTACCCAGAGAAGGTTCAAAATCGCGAATGAATCCGCAATTTTGTGGGGAAAATTACATACACATATATGCGCCTGTACAAACAAATCCAGATCTCACATATGTAAACTTAAGCACCTGAGCAAACCAACAGATGAATGTACATTAATCATGAAGCAGCCTCAGCCTCAAGTTTTGATGAGTAGAATTTTCATGACTACCATCCCTTCTTGGCTATAGCTCTGAAAATTTTGTTTTCCTGTTAATTCAAGAACACACCAAGACAGCTGGCAAAAGCAAGTATCAGCCATGGTGAAGTTACTTGTTCTTCCGTTTTTCAAAAATATTTCGAAACCTACTTGACTGGTGAAGCTACTTGTTCTTCACGTTTTTCAAAAATATTTCGAAACCTACTTGACTGCTCTGTTATAAAACTACAGATAAGAGCGATTATCCCATACTACAAGAGAGAATTTGTCACCATATTCCTCCATTCCTTCAACTACCTAGTTGTCAAATTAAAGCTCCTGCACCAGCTTCTTGCTTCTTTGATGACTCGTAAATTTTATCATAAACTATCTTCAGCAAAGTATTTCTGTCGTATACTCCTTGGTTGTTCACATGCAGTGACAAGACAACCTCCGTGAAAAGAACAGGTTTCTTCAGAATGTTGTCTCCATCACTTCTTTGCGAATACGCCCACCTAGAAACATAATTTGCTTTTGCTTCCAAATCAGAAGTTGGGATCCTATAATATGCTAAGATTTTGATTGTGAAAATATCTCATAAAATACTGGCATGAAACAATTTCAGGGTTTTGGTGAACCTAGTTCGACTTTGAGACTTGGTCACAGTTTTAACAAACAAAACCTAAGATGTAGTTAGGTAGAAGTTGTCATCACGTGGTCTACTCAAAGAAAATAATAAACATCATGAGGCCCATCACCAATTAAGGCTGCTTGAGAATGAGCAACCATCAACAAAAGGGAATAATTAGGAGACCAAAGAACCATAAACATTGTTACCATGACTCTCACATATGAAGAACAGAGTCCCCAGTTCAAGAGCATGTGGTTTACCATTTCGATTTCAGATACTTAAAGATCTGAAAATTCTCGATTGAAAGTAAAAGCTCAAGCTACTTCATCGTATCGTCCTAAAGAGTATTTACAGTAGCATACCTTTACATAAGCCTTGCAGTAGTCTTAAATGGTGGGGTATAAAAAGAATGAATCAGATGCAGAAGAGACATTAATCCGAGCTTCTTGTGCCCACGTCAGATACTGTACTTTTCCCACCAAAAGCATCTAAATTATTAATTAAACCAAGGATCAGTCTCTCTCTGTTCCTCCTTGCTTCAACTATCACATAATCTAATCCCTGTTACCATAATGCCAACATCATTTACAATAAGAATGCAAAATACTAACATGCTTTCAATATTCAATTAACGAAAATCCTAATATCGAGTAATAAACAGAGAATATGTCAATATCTCCTGCAACAATTCAGAAACCCAACCAATCAAGAAGATAAAATTAAAAAGCAGAGACAAACTCTAACCAGGGAAGACCTGAAACGCCGTGGGGCCATTACCGTAACTGAAAGCCCTAGTCCTGCACACTGTCATTCCCATTTGGGCACCTCTCTCGAGCATCCTGGACACCTTTGATCTTGACAGGTCCTACACGCTCTTCTTCATCAGCCAGTACGAATTCCGACCATTGATGTACAGCGTTGATTGATGACCGCCATGATAGTTGGCAATGATGAAGTGAGTTGAGTTACGGAAACGAAACCCATTTTGGATAGCCATAGGAGAAGTGGAAAACTAATGAAGAGACCACTGCAATTAAGGTAGAGAAGAGCTGGAACCGAGAATGTGGCTGTCATGGGATAAATCCTCTTTTCTCTCCTCTGAGAATCAAGTTTTTGTAATATCTTTTATAGTTGATTTTTTTAATTTATTTATCCTTCCTCTTGGTACAGATAATAATTTATTTTTTAAAAGAAAAATAAATAATTACTTTAGAAAAAACACATTGATTATCAAAGCATTATTAATTAGCATGCAGAGGAAAATTATCGAAGATCATAGCACAGGGGATATCTCTCTCATTTCACTCTCGAAGAAACCTCTGCAAGCACCTAAACCCCAAGTACTGAGCACAGAAATTCTCCATCTCCTCCCCGCCCGTCTCCCTACACACCTCCTCCTCCGCCGTCTCCTCCCAGTACTTCCTCGCCCCAAATCCTTGCGGGCCCCACCCGTAGAAATCGCCTTCGTAATCGTCAACAACGGCGTCGTAGCAGTAACCTTTCGCTTCGGCGATGGAGTCGAGAATCTCCTGCAAGCTAACGACTCGCCGACTCACCTTCCTCCTTGCTTCCCTTACCGCCGGGTCGACTCCCGGGACTGAGTCCAGCTTTAGAAGGAGACTCATAAGAGCCTCGTTCATCCTCAGCTTCTCGCGATCGTCGCTCCTGATGGAATCCACCGTGTCCTGCCGCTGGATCAAGCGTTTCAGCTGATCAGCCTCGCGATCGACGGCCGAGATTTTCTTGTAGAGTTTGCGGATAACGTGACACCGGTACGCGGATTGGATCCTTGCCGCGGCCTCAGATTGGGAAAGACAAGGAGGTGAAATTGAGGCTTTAGGTGACGACGGAGGGGACTGGATGGGAATTCGCTTGGTTTGCTTGGGGATAGTTTGGTCGTTATGGTCGACAGAGAAGGTTACAGTCGTGGTTGAAGAAGAAGAAGAAGAAGTAGAAGAGACGAAGCTGAATTTTCTGGAGGGTTTCATGGTGGTGTTTTCTTTTTCTGTTCGGTTTTGTCAGTGAAAGGGACGAGTGTCAGTGAGGTGGGTTTTTATAATTTCTCTGAGTTACCGGTTACGGTTATTGAATTTTCTCGGCGGGTATTTTTGCGTGTCGGTGATTCTGTGTCGTTTTAGTGCTTTTTAATTATAACATGTACGAATTGCCCGTTACAAAGCAGACCCATCTATCATTTGCTTTCTCCTTTTTGCATGATTTGTTTTGTTAAAAATTACTTTTCATAATTTATTTTATTTATATAAAAAAAAAAAAAAACTAGACTCCTTTTTCCTTTTCTTGGAAAACTTATTACCAGGAAATAAAAAATAGAGGGACATGATTGTTACAAACTGAGATTATATGTTAACCATGAAAGTTAACATCAATCCAGTAGCTCTCTAACAAGTTGTGAAATAAAATCAGCTACTGATTTCAGACTTTAATCAATACAGCAATATTGCGGCGGAACAACCTTCCCGGTGCAAGTTCCAAACCCGATATTGTATCCATCTCCCTGCAATGAATTCAAACATGGAAAATTTGAGCATGCCATCAGTGCAGTTCATATAGATTTACCCATCATGTTCTTAGTTCTTCATTTGGAACAGGGGAGTAAAGAAAACAGGAGCGACACCAGTAAGATGTATAAGTTTCAGTTCCAAACTTTTACTTCTTCCTCTTCCTAGTTCCTACTACTTAAAATGATTTTGATCCTGAAAAATCCTGTTTAGACAGATCAGAAAACCCTACTAGTAGCTTGATGCTAACTCCTATGACCACATCTTCAAATATTAAAAGGTTATATACTTGCATCGGTCTCGAAACTCAGCAACAACGGGATGACATACAGCTTTTGATATTACTTGGTATTATCGTGAGGTATCTTCAAAAAGCAACTCCTAGAATGCAACATAATTTAAAATTTTGATATACACCACAGCCCAAGACCCAGACAGTATCCCTGAACAAATAATTTAACATTCTTCCAACCAAATGAGAACACAGCTTGACCAATTCACTGAGTGAAGTTGCTAATTAATCAGTAAGGGAAAAGATAAAAGATGTGAGAGAATCCAAACCCTGTTACCATTTACCTCATGCATTCAAAGATACTTTTGTTAAAAGCAAATTAACAGAATAGATACAAGTGAAATGAATTTAGAAAACAAAAATGACGGGATGAACTCCTTGACTACGGGTAAGAGAAATGGTTGGACATAGAAACTATTGAGAGGAATGTTAAATAATAGCTAACCTTGCAACAACCAGTAAAAATGACCTCATCCCCGTCTTCTAAGAATTTACGAGTTGCACCATTCAATGATAATGGGTTTTGTCCATTCCACGTTAACTCCAGCAAGCATCCCAATGATTCTTGCTCCTGTTAGGAAATACATAAGTGATCTAGATTGCAATTGACAGAGAGAATCTATGCAGCCTATGAATTATGCATTTATAAAATCACACTATAGAAAAATATCAAGGCACAACATCATACAGGTCCACTGATAGTTCCAGTTCCCAGGAGATCGCCTGGCCTTAAGTTGCAACCATTAATTGTATGATGTGCAACCTGCTGAGTGACTGTCCAGTATCTGATATACAAGTTTTAGAAATATATATTAACCAAAAGTAAACAAAAAAACAAAAGACAACAGAATGATATGTGAGAAAGAGTACTTCTGTCTTTCCCTGAATTCAAATAGTTCACTTCTATATGCATACATTTTAAGGTTGGGAATATCTCTTTTTAGGAAGCTTATTTTCCACATACAAAAATTTCAAGAATATTTTTGTGGAGTAATATATCAGAATCTTATTGACATTATGGCAAATCTTGGCATAAGAAATTTTTTATCACTCTGATTCATGTTGTTACACTCCAGCCTTCAGCAAATAAAAGACATAAAAGAATAGTATGTGATGCTAAGAAGGTTATTCTGACAAGAGGCTGCCGCATATAAAAGAACCTCGTAAAACCGAGGACACATCCGAAGAGATACTCCTTACAAGTTTTTGAAGTTGCTTCTTGTTACAACACATGAATTATCTTGACCAGCAGGTTTGATTTCAACCTGGTGGTAACAAAGAAAATTAATCAATTTATTGAGATATGAAACGACCTGCCATCGTCTACAAAAAAATGAAAATCTTAATAGTCGCTAACAGAAAAAGATATAGTAAATATGGCCATTGAATAATGAAGTAGGCTTATTGGCCCAATATGGGAAGAAAGAGAATCAAGATATGTTTTCGGAAAAAAAACTTGTATATATATTAAACACTGCTAGTTACCTCTAATGAAATATCGTAGTTTTTGGATGTCTTTTCAGCCAGATATGGCAGCGGATGGGGGTCCTGCAATATGCATCACATATAATATAGACTTTTGCGATCTGAGAGAAAAATTAAAGCAACATTTTTGGTATTATTCACTAAGTGCTACCTGTTTGGGAGCATCACAGGCAAAAGGCTCAAGAGCATCTAATGTCACAATCCATGGAGATATTGTAGTGCCTAAGAAATCATAAAAAGAGTAAGGCCCCTGCTTGAAAATTGACAATCTTAAAAAGAATCGATGAGAAAAACTGTAGACAGAAGAATCAACTTAATGAGTAAAATAAACATGCAGCCATCATCAGGAAGCGTACAGTACACTGATGATGAGGCACTGATTCTACCTAATGGAATTCAAAAAACTTGAACATTGAATATTGGCACTTACTTACCAAAACTCTTTCCTAAGAAAGGCCCCAGGGGCACATATTCCCATGCCTGAATATCTCTAGCTGTAATCAACTGCTTGTAAATATAACATCTAAAAAGACACAAAATGATATCGAACTGAATGAATAGAGAGGATTCATACCACTCCAATCATTCATCAATACTAGTCCAAAAATATGATCTGCTGCATCATTAACATCTATAGGTTTTCCTAGTTTATTTCCAGGACCTACTATGGCAGCCTGCAAGAATTTGTAACAGTTTAATAAATCAATAGCAAGAATCACACATTGTACTATACAGAAGCAACTAATTTAACAATAATTATCAAGAAAATTTGATACTTAAATACATCATGATATCTAGATTTTTAAAATAGAACTTGAATACATTTAAGTATGAGAAGAGAAAAAAGCAGATCAGATGGACGTTCATGTATGAAAGGCTAACCATTTCTAGCTCAAAATCAAGCTTCATTGAAGGTCCAAAAGATGGTGGAGAGTTGCCAATTGGAAAGCCTTGACCTCTGAGAGAAAACAAAATGCAGTCTGAATCATTTTATTGGAGTTAAATAAAAATTCAACTAAGAAATGGTAACATATCAAACCTTAAACTAATCCGATCGAATCCTCATTTGAGAAAATAAACAGTGTGAACTATATAGAAATACTAGGGAACATAAATTTATATGCAATCATTTAATACATATCCCAAAATTGAAGCAAAAATGTTGCCTGCATTTGAGGAACCAACATTCCCTTAAGAGATATCATCTGTCATGCAGTTTTTCTTGTTTGCATGTCCATATGTTCTCTATACTTAAATGATGTAAACTATCAAGCATCCATTTACCACATAAGCTACCAATAACACCAATGAAGAAGCATGATGAAATTTTTTCTATTATACGTGGAAAATTAAGTTTTAGTAAGTACCACAGTTTCCATGACTATCTTGTTCAAACAAGTTTCCTCACCTTGGTCGAATTATGTCTGTCCCAGAGATAACAATTGATGATGCTCGCCCATGATATGCAATTGGAAGATGAAACCTGGAAGAATCAAGGATACTTTATACACTTACAAAAGAAAAACAAGAGGTTATACAGCCATAAATCCAAATTCATTAAATTGAAATCTTCGTCCGTCAAAAATTTCAAACCCAATTACCAGTTTTGAGGCATCGGGTTTTGTGGCCCACGGAATATGGTCCCACAGTTCTTTGCATGATGCATGGATGAAAAAAAATCTGTATAGTCCCCAACCTCAACGGGAAGAACCATTTCTACTTTGTTCTGAGCATTTATGCAAAAGTTTAGCACATTTAGGATTATATTAATTGCACTTTAGGATCAGGCACATGCATACCATCGGGTGAAGAGACCTCTGCCTCAAATCCGCATTGTCACGCAATGATGGCTCGTCAGCTGCATCATAAGACACCAACTAAGCAATTCCTTTATTGTGTTGGTATAACTAGCCTCCTTTTACCTATAAATTAAAACAATCTACTCCTCGGGCTAATATTCTTCATGAAGATTCACAACTAGTTCAGCTATAATAAGCTTTTCCTGTAATTAAACAGGATATCTATTTAAAAATAAAGAACCACCAAATAATTAAAAGATTCATACATGATAATAGCTTCTGAAGCGTAGCACGAGCTTCCTTCCACGCAGGGCGTCCCATGGCCAAAAACTTATTCAGATTAGACTGCAATCAAACAACGGCAGAATTTCATGCGATTATCCATAACAACAGAAAACCATGGACTCGTCCGTAGGTCATCTGCTACTCTAAGTAACACAGGATTTCCACTGCTACTGATATGAATTATAACAAAATCGATATATAAATGAGAATTTAAAACAAAATATATGCTAATACTCTAAAACTACGATTCCCGCCTTCGAATTCAACAAAAACGCTGACGACGTTTTCTCTTCCCCTGCAATGAAAATGAAATCAAACCTGTAGAAAGCAATCAGAGATCCAGAGGATCGGTCCGTTGAAGAGCCCGGCCTTGGTGATCTCGAAGAGGTCCAAAACGTACTCCCCAATCGCGACGCCGAGTCGGGCCGGACAACTCGGCCAAGGCTTGAACGCCCCGTAGGGGAGGTTCTGGATGGGGAAGTGAGAATTCGGATGGACGTCGACGAAAGACTTCAACGCCATGGTTCGAGTAGCAGAACAAAAAGAATAAACGGCGTTGTATGAAGCTCCGGTGAAGCTCGAGTCAGTGACTCAGTGACAGAGGATGGCCGTGGGATGGTAAATGGCGTAGGCAATATTTATAGACTCGACGAATCCTCTGGTACCAGTTGTCATTGTCTTTTTACGTACGGATAATTAATTGGGATTTTTGTATTTTTATAAATAATATTTTACTTAATTATTTTTTAAAACATTAATTAATATGGATAATAAAATAAAAAATGCAGGGTAGTTGGAATCTACGGTTCTTGATTATGATTCACGCCGGCAATGTTATCATCCACCGTTCAAATGTATTTTAATTATTTTTATTTTTATTTATATTTTTATAAGCAACGTAACTAATTTATTTACTAAATAAATAATTTTTAGGAAATTATAGGAGTAGGTGATATGATCAATAATTTGACCCACTCTTGAGATTCATAACACGTGATTATCTTACGTTATTTTAGCGATTTTTATATATTTATTATTTTAACTTGTTTAATCTATATTTTTTAATGTGTAACAAAATTAACATGTCCTTTAAATAATTAATATAAATAAATTTCAATTTTATAAACTTTGCTTTTTAAATATAATGTAATTAAAAATTTATTTTATTTCTTTATATATATATATTAGTAAATATCTAATATGATATTTCAAAAAGTTTAATAAAAAAAAATTTATACAAACACGTGATTTTTACAAGTCAATATTATTTTATATATGTTTATTATTTTTAATTGAGTATTTTATATTTTTATATATAATTTTTACTTAAAACTTAAAAATTATCTCGGATACTTGCAAATTACTACATGCATTAGAATTAATTTTTAAAATGATTAAAATTTTTTTATTGCATGGTTTGATATGGTAATACTAACACTAAAATTTTATATACATTTGTATAAATATATATGAAATAAATATTTTATTCTTATTATTTTCATTGATGCTTGAAATCAACAATTAAATTATTTTAATATATATACATGCTTTTGTTAAATTAGTTTACAGATAATTAATTTTATTTAAATATATGGCCTAATATAGTAATACCAACATTACATAATATATAGTAGATTGAAATATTATTATTTTTAAATAATTTATTATAATTATTATTGGACACATTATAATTGAATATATTATACATATATATAATATACATTGACTATAAATTTGAGTATACCATATAAATAAATAGAGATATCATAAATTAAAAAAGGTATTAGTTATTGTGTGTTGATGCGAACAACATAAAATTTATATATACACACACAAGATTGTTGGTCGTTTTTTGCAATTATCAATTTGCATCCAAAACGGCGACGTATGGGCTCCCGTGGGCTCCACCTCCTCCCCTTCGAAGCACAAATGAAGATCATTTAAACGCATTTCGACCTTCACCGAGTCATCGATTCGTTACAACAAACGGATCAAAACTAGAAAGCTTCCACGAAATATAATTTTATACACTATTTTTCTCAGGTTCAAGTGAATTATAATCAAGGTAACGAACGGATTGCCCAGATCGTTAGAAATTGTTCAGCTTCTATTTTATTGTTTGAAACCCTAGTTTTATTCCGAAAAATTTATCTTCACTTCTGTTTGTTTGATGAAAGTTTGTGTCGACAGCGGGGGACAGATATGTCGTTTGATCTCCTGTTGAAACCGTCTTGCGGCGGGTGTGGATCCACCACAGATTTGTACGGAAGCAGTTGCAAACACATGACCTTGTGTTTGACATGCGGCAAAACCATGGCGGAGAACCGCGCAAAGTGCTATGACTGCGGCGTCAACGTTACTCGCTTGATTAGGGTTCGCTCCCTACCCCTCCTTCTACGTAGTGTGTCATTCTTTGAGCGTCGGAATCTAGATATTCACATCGAATTCTGTGTCATTTTTCGTTGTCTCAAATCTTACAGGAGTATAATGTTCGGGCGAATCCAAGCAGTGACAAGAACTTCTTTATCGGTAGATTTGCAACTGGTTTGCCAAACTTTTCGAAGAAGAAGAGTGCGGAGAACAAATGGAGTCTCGTTAAAGAAGGACTGCAAGGACGCCAACTAACCGAAGTCTTACGGGTATTATGTTTATTTTTCACGTTCTGTCTGTTTAGTCGGCTTAAGATTTCCTTCCATATCTTTTGTGTGCTTTTTGAAGTCGGAAACGTTTGAATCGTCAAATGGTTATCTCAGATGGTATAAAAAGTTTAAGCATGTTGACCTACATTTAAAGGATACATATATATCTGAAGTCTATGTACGTTTAGCTTTACAGTTGAACTCTATAGGTGGTTTTTTAGACTGTTTTGATCGTATTTAGCTTACAGGACTGCAATCTAGAGTCTCTGAAGAAATTTAACTTTCTACCATAAAAAGAAGAAATTAAGGGCTGACAAGCTTAACAAATAGAATGGTTCATTGTGTCCTGGCTGTAAAGGTTCTTTGAATAATGAAGGCGAACAAGTTTATCTAATTTTATGGGATTTTAAGTTCGTTATAATCCTATAATTTTTCTGGCTAAAAAAAGTCGGTGCATTAAGAGAAACCATCAATCACTTGATCGCTTTCTCATTAGGATTTAGTGAAATAGTTGGTAGCAGGTTCATCATCTAACAATTTTTGTCCGTAAAATACGTCGTTGTCTGGCTAGTAAATGTTTCAGTTAAGTTTTAGAAAACACTGTTTTAGCAACTTAATTTATACCTGTTAGCAACTTATGTAACACTGCTTGCAGCTCTTGGCATTGTGCATCATATTCACATTAAGTGCTTGTGATTATGAAGGAGAAGTATAAAAATAAGCCTTGGCTCTTGGAGGATGAAACAGGCCAGTTTCAATACCACGGTCACGTTGAAGGTGCACAGTCAGCAACTTACTACCTGCTAATGATGCAAGGAAAGGAGTTTGTTGCTAGTCCTGCTGGTTGTTGGTATGGTTGCATCACATTTTTCTTATTATTGTTATCTTCTGTGTTCGTAGTGGGTTGGGTTCAGAAAATCCCTCTGTTGCATCCCTTCAATGACGCACCAGTGAATGTTTGTCAGCCTTTTGCCTTTTCTTTAGTGTGTGTAATTTCATCTTTGATTGTTCTTTGATGTGCTCGATAGGTATAACTTTAACAAGGTTGCACAATATAAACAACTTACCCTTGAGGAGGCAGAAGAGAAAATGAGGAATAGGAGGAAGACTGCAGATGGATACCAGAGGTGGATGATGAAAGCTGCAAATAATGGACCCGCTGCATTTGGTGAAGTAGAGAAGTTTGATGACAAGGAGAGTGGCGCAGCTGGTGGTAGGGGCCGAAAAAAATCAAGTGGCGATGAAGAAGAAGGCAATGTCTCTGAGAAAGGGGAGGAAGATGAAGAGGAGGAGGCTGCAAGGAAGAACAGGCTTGGACTCAACAAAAGAGCCGGTGATGATGATGAAGAAGGTCCGAGGGGAGGTGATCACGATTTGGATGATGATGATATTGAGAAGGGTGAGTTTCTGACATGTTCTTGACATTTTTTTTCGGCATTAAATAAGATGTTTTGAGAGTACATTCTTTTTTTTTCTTTAATAGATTAAAGGGATTTAGCATTGAGGAATCCAGGTGTTGCCATCCATGCCCATGAAATTTATGTAAAATCAAAAACCAAAATATCTATTAAGGTTCCCCAAATCCTCCCTTGAAGAATAAGACGTCTTGAGAACAAACTACTCGAGGAAGGAGATCAATAGTCTTCAAATCTATGAGAAGGAGAGCAAATGCTCCTAGCACTCTATCATTTCTTTCTTTTTAAAGGGCTCAAAAAATGGAAAAAGAAATGGTATTTTCTTTTAGATAAGAACGAAATAACAATAGAAGGAATTGAAGGGTACTGCCCATGTATAACATATTTAGAGATCAATAAGCAAAAGGTCAATGAGGTAGAAATGTCTCAATTTTGAAATGTATTGAAACCTTGGTAGTAGAAATGAGGGGGATGCTCTATTTCCAGGATTTCACTTTCAAATGAACCTCATAATTGTAAGAAAGTAGGTTTTTTTGGTTATGTACCTAGCAAAAGAAAAAATGGGATAGGATCTTATAGGATCTCCTTCCTCCCTTCAAAATTGGACTTAAGAGTTTTCTTTCATCAAGTTCAAGTAGTTATACCAAATAATGATAAAGGAACGGGACCTAACTTTCAAATGAAATTCTAAAATCCCCAAATCAACATTATCAAGGATTTAGTGCCCTATCAACAAAACACTCAGGGATCGGGACCAACCATCTTGTGGCAAGATAACTTCTGGCTGTCCGTTCCAAATTGTGACCTTCCAGCCATGATTAAGCCTTCTGGTTTTGAATTGGGTCAGCTTCTTTTTTTTTTTTTTGTATTAAGCTAAAAAGGTTTTAAAACATAATTTTGAAAATTATTTTTATTAATGTATGTTTAAGATGATGTTTTACTCTAATACTGTAAATATTTATCATTATATATAATATATTTAAAATTTATATTAATTATTTTATTTTGAGAAATATTAAGAGTATTAAGTCAGATATATATACACTATCTTTGCCCCCTTTACACGACTATCCAAGGATATCTTACATCTTGCTTTAAATCCTTACCTTTATCATATCCTATTCAACTACACTGCTCTTATCCTTCCCGTATGCCAAGTATTGCTGTCTGCATTAACTTCGGATTCTGTGCAAGTTGTAAGGGAAAAAATGTTCTTTTTTCCCATCCTTTTATCATTTGATTATATAGCAATTTACTTCAAACTTATTTGTCTGTCCTAGGTGATGATTGGGAGCATGAAGAAATTTTTACTGATGATGATGAAGCTGTTGGTAATGATCCTGAGGAGCGGGAAGATCTCGCCCCTGAAGTTCCTGCACCTCCAGAGATCAAGGAGGTTAGTTCATACTCATTACTTGCTAGGCTAGGGTACTTCTCGTGGATCCCATTATCATTTTCATGTGGCTTTTTTAGCAAATATTTGATGGATTTAGTAATATTGAATTTGAAGCCAACAGTAATTTACCATAAAAAATATACGTTTATCTGCCATTCAGTCCTCAAGCAGAAATTTCTATGTTGTTAAAGTTTGGTTGTAGCTCTTGTGCCTATAAAATATTAGTACACGGTGCAAAAATTTACAAGAACAAGCAGGAGTTAAGCATTTTAATCATGTCAGGATCTATATTAGCTCACAGGACCCATTTCATTCCTAAGAGACAGTTTTCTTTGGGTTTGAGGTTTAATTCCTTTTTGCTGGCATGGAGAGACACTATTCATATTTAGGGGTCTGCCTATGCTTCTTTAGTTTTTCATGAGATCTGAACGGACTTGCATTTCACCTTGGAACTTCAACTGTTTTTTTTCTTTTAATAATTTGAAGTTTCTCAATAATTTGCTTGAGGATTCTGGATAAGCTATTACTTGGGTTTGAAATGGCCATTAGGATATCTCTTTGAAGGCATGTTACCAGTTCTGCAAGTATGGAAAGGGAAAATCTGTTTTGATTGCTGTGGGTCATCTCAAATGATACATAATGTGTAAGGAAGACGGTTGTTTTTAAGAGATTCTACCTTTTTTGAGAAGTTACTAATTTTCCTTCCTCTTTCCATTCATTTCTCTGTTCAAGAGTTGAAGTTCTCTCATTATCCTATTGCTACCATTAGCAATTTGAATGGAGTTGAATAGGATAGGGTCACAGACAGAATAGTGTGTTTGCGTAAGATCCAGTTGGTCCAAATCTTGGTAGAGGTTATGGGTCTGAAATACAGTAGATGTTAAATTTAGGTCCAGAGGAGAGTAGGCTTAGTTGTAGTTTATTTTAGTTTGAAGTTCAACTTGATTGAACCATTTGTTGCAGTTCCTTGCTTGGATAATAAGTGATAATTAGTAATACATTCTTGTTACATTGGTTCTTGTTTTTTCTGCGGAAAGACACGAAAGTTCAAATCTCTTTTATAGCTACAGCAAGAATATCAGTGCTTATGTTACAAACTCCTAAATAACTTTAAATTTTTTAATATACTAAGTGTTGGAATAACTTGCACTTCACCTTGGATACCTGTTCTTCTATTTTGACTTGTAATTAGTCTCAATTCTAAAAGAAATTTTAGTAGAACACAAAACTCTTTACTCTTCTACCTAACATTTTTGTTTCACAATCTTAACAGTACCATACCGGCTTCTCCCATTTTTTCTAACCTTTGTTGTCTGATTCTAGAGATTCAGGTCAATAACCAAAATGAACCCAAGCAAACTTGTAATATGAATCAGTTTGAGAAACTTGGTATGGAGGTTGCAGAAGTTGAATGGTCGTAGATATCTATGTCTGGCATATTAAGTCAAAGG